TAGCAACTAAATATGTAAACCTGTAGGTTCCAAACATTAAAGTTAATAAAGAAAATTAGAGCGCCACACACGCCCCACGATGTAATACATCGGGGATAGTTAAAAAAAAAAAAAAAAACAAATACAACATCATATTAGACATTTTATTATTAAGAAAGGATTATTATACAAAAAAAACAAAAAGACCCTTAGTATCCTCTTTGTGTTATCAAATAAAATAAAGTTGAATATGTTCTGTATATGATGCATAAGCATTCTACTACAGAACATTTAGGAACAGATGCTATGTACTATAAAATAGCTGAATGATATTATTAGGACCAAATGTATTGAGATGTACAAGAATATGTTAGAACATATAAAGAATACCAAAAGAGATTAAAAGACAAATGAACTAAACCTCTTTATCTTATTCAAATAGAATAAGCCTTTGAATGAATTAGAATTGACTTAGTAGAACCTTTACTAATTACCAAACAAAATAATTGATATATTATTGTTGCTACTGACTATTTAACAAGATGGCCAGAAGACTATACTGTACCTGATATCAAAGCAACTACCTTAGCTTAATTTATTTTTGAAAAAATTATTTGTTAACATAGAACACTAAAGATTATTCTTTCTGATCAAGAAAGAAATTTTATTAGTAAAACTGTTTACATTCTATATAAAAAGTTTTTTATCAAGTATAAGTTCTCTTCACTATACCATCTACAGACAAATAGATAATTAAACATCTTAATTGAACCTTATGTGAATTACTTGTTAAGATAAAAGGAGATAATAACTAGGATTTACATATACCTACTATACTGCTTGCTTATTGAACAAAAAAGCATGCTACAAATAGATATACTTCTTTTTAGCTTGTATACAGATAACAAGCTATTCTTTTAATTAAAGCTTTACTACCTATCAAACCCTATGAAGAAACAGAATATAACTTACAAGATAACATATTGCACCAAGTATTTGAGCTTATCAACAAGTTACCTGAATTGCAAAACAATATAAGAGAAAAGACCAATGAATTGTAACAGAAACAAAAAGAATTCTTTAATGCCAAAATCCATTATGAAACATTCAAAATAAGTAACAAAGTATGAATAATTAGAAAGGATATAGAATATTTTTGATCAGTTAAATTTGAAGATAAAAGAACTGAACCTTTTATTATTTAAGAAAAATTGAACAATAGTGTTTATAAACTTTGTAATGACAAAGAAAAAACATTGCAAAAGTACTATAATAGTGATTGTCTTGCTAAATATTATGAAAAACAAATATGAGAACCTTTTGTTCTTATTGAATAACTGAAATTTCTGAAAGAAATTTCTAAAACTGAAGAAAAAAACAATAATATTATACAAATTTTTTAATGTTACAATTTATTTGAAGATTGTAATACTTGAAAATTTATATAAATATCTAAAAATAGAATTCTTAAAACTACATCCAGAAACAGTAATCACTTTAAACAACTTTCTTCAAATCTGAAAACAGAACCTTACATCTCAAAATCACTTAGATATATCATCTTAAAATATTATTCTTTGAAGTAATAAAAAATTAAAAAAAGTTATTAACTTAAACTCTGTAATAAAAGCTCCTGTAGAATTCAATATTAATAAATTTCTATAACTAGAAGAGATACAATTTTTTGAATTAAAACTTCACTTAATAAAGTATTTACAAAGTTGGAAAGTAATAATACTAACCATCAAACTCAAATAATAAATGACTTGAAACAGACATCAGTATCAATAACATGAAATATAACTAACTTTTTTTCTAGAGAAATATAGAAAGAACAAGTAAATTAAATCTTAAAGTTCTTATTTACTTCTGGATATACTTAACATAACTTCAACAAGGAAATAAAAGTTTACTACTACTTAGAACAAATAATCTTAAAGTCTAACAATCCTTTAGAGATTAAAAACCTTATCCAGAATGCTCAAGTAACAAGAAAAGCAAAAGACATTTAGAAAGGTGCTCTTAGAATATATGAAGTTCTCAAGTTATGACCAAAAGAAATAACCTTGCAGTTGAAGTATGTAACTGTAACACATATCATCAAGTTGCTGAATGATGAGAACATCTAACTTCTCAAATTGATTAGAATATAAAATTTATGAAGTAAATTTTTTAAAGAGGATAGAAATGTTATAAAATGAATTATTATTTTATTATTATTATTATTATTATTATTTTTTTTTTTTTATAAGCAGTCATGCTAGTAGTGCTTGGATCCAGTTTATAAAATCTGGTTATATCCGGATATCAAAAGAATAACGGATACTCTTTTTTAAAAAAAGATATTCAATCCAGATTTAATTTTTAAACTGTTATAAATCTGATTTTTATCCGGATATAGTAATAATAATAAATGCATTACTAAAGCAGAATTAAATCAATATATGATTTCATACTACATAAATTACATTCTTGATATCTATATAAACCTTTATTATAACTGCATTAAAAAGGTAAACCTAAACATCATTCTGCTTTAGCCAACCACCTAATTTGGTAAATTAATCTGCGATGACTATAGGCTCCTGATTTACAAATCCAAGTCTTGATTCTAATTTCTCTATTTTTAGTAAAATGATACACTTCTAAATGGAAATTAATTATCTGCAATATAATATTATGCAGTTGTGCCCATTGTGCTAAATATTAGACACTTGATTCGCAGATTTAGATTATCATTAATAAAGTGATACTTTAATATGCACATCGTAATTTTGGCTAAAGCAGTCTATTCTAAAAATGTTTATATCAAATCTCATAGTAAATTAAGTATAATAATAGATTGCCAATTATTTCATGTAGATAATACAATAAATAATACATTATCTATTTTGTTAGATTTTACGAATTCCGTTAAATAAAAACCTTGTAAGATTCAATTCTGTATCAAGATTTTATAATCTTACAAGTTTTTAGTTGTTAGAATGTTATACCCTTTTAGGAAAAATTGTCTACATTATAGATCAACTATTCAATATTAAGTATTTGATTAAAAATTTATTCACTGGAACTGCTAGTACTAAAAAGTATACATTTTAGCAGGCTTTAGTGATTCTCGAATGATAATAATCTAATTCGTCAGAGAAAAATAAGCAATTTCAAGTAAAACTAGAATAGCTTTTTTTCAAAAAAGTAAAATTCTTCAGGCTTTTCTTAGAATTACTCACATTCAGGTTTTTGCTTAAATTAATTAAGAGATTAATAATAATATATAAAGCTATTTCTAATCAAACTGATATTTAAAAAAACGAAACCATAAATCATTCATCATCCAGATCTAAAAAAATAATCGTTATATGAAAATTGTAAGAACAAAAAAGGTAGATTAATTAAATATGCAAAAAAGATATAATAAGATACTAATCCGGGAATTTCAAAGACTTTTGATATCTTGCACACGCATGAAAATTGATAAAAGTATCTAAAGGCTTATAAAAAATAATGTTAAAAATAAAATGCTATCATAAATAAGAAAAAATACATAAGACAATAAAGATTAGATATATTCAATTATATACTAGATCTAATAAAGAAAAATTAAATTAGATTTTTCTATTGCAAATTCTTTATAAAAGGTCATTAAATGAGAGCTTTTGTATCTAATAGTTAAAAAAAATTTGAAATAAACTTTAAGTACTAAATTTACCAAATTATATAAAACTAAAATGTCTAGTATTAAAAAACGAAAGAGTAAATACTCTACTGATTCCAATTCGACACCAAATTCTAATGAGAATTCTTGTCCTGAAAATGCTATTTATATTTCTAATAATGAAACTAGTAATGAAACATTAAGCGATGAAAATATTAGTACAAGCTCTAATAGTGATGAAAAACACACTGATAAAAAATTAAACCCCCAAACAAGATCATGAAGAAATGCCAGTTGGGTTTGGCACTATTTTCGTAAAAGGCCCCCTTCAAAAAAATGGAAAAGGCATGCAAATTGCACTGTAATTATAAAAGATAAAAAATCTCCAAATGGTTAGCGCAAATGTGGTCAACTAATTAAAACTCAAGGCTCTACTGGCAACTTTCAATCACATTTAAATGCTCATAGAATTACTAAGCTTACTCAAATAAATAGTATAGCAGCTCAACCAACTATTGATGAGATGTTTCAAAATGCTGTTAAGCAAAATCCTCGTCAAAAAGAATCTATTGAACATGCCTTGGTTGAATGGATAGTTACAAATTCTCAGCCCTTTTATATCTTGCAAAGTGAAAGCTTTGTTAAACTAATTCATACATTAAATCCTTATTATGAATTACCTTCCAATAAACAAATTAAAGCACATATTCATCAAAGTTACAATAATTCAATTGAATATCTCAAAACCCTTCTTGTAACAGAACTCAAAACATGCAGTTTGACATGTAACCTGTGGACTGCTCATTCTAAAAATAGTTATTTAGGAATTACATGCCATTTTATTAATTCAAATTATGAGCTAAAAGAAATTATACTTGCAGTTAAATATGTCCCATACTCTCATGATGCTATAACTATTAAAACTGAGTTAGAGAATGTAATCAATGATTGGAATCTTTTCGAAAAAGTGATTTCAATTACAACTGATAATGCTGCTAGTATGATCAAAGCTATTAGTTTGATGGATCAGGTAGATCATATTCCTTGTACAGCCCATACTATACAACTTGCTATTGAAAAGGGTTTAAAACCTGCAGCAACTTTAATACAACGTGTAAAACGGTTAATTAATTTTTTAACTACACCTAAACAAAATGAACAACTACAAAAGTCACAAGAAATGCTAAAAGTTTCTAAAGAAAAAATTAGTAGTGATGAAAAAATGTATTATCGTGCAATTTCTGATGTTACTACATGCTGGAATTCCTCATACTTTGCATGAAAACGACTTCTCCAACTTAAATGTGCTATTATATTAATGGAAGCAACTATGAGTGATGATTCTGATTCCAAAGCTCGTAAAGATGCTAAGAAATTAAAGTCTATTATGATAACTAAAGACGAATGGATAGTTCTTGAAGAATTGACTATACTCTTAGCACCTTTTGCGAAATTACTGAATTGTTAGGTGGTAGCAATTACTCTATGATTAGCTTCATGTGGCCAGCTATTACTATTCTTACTAAAAGTTGTAATCTATCAGTAACTAGTGCAAGTATTGAAGAAATTGACTTAATGGATGCATCAGATGTCTTTGATAATATTGAAGAGGATATAGTCGACTTGGATGAGAAATTTGCAACAATTACTATTGCTAATGATAATGTGATTAAACTTAATCAACCCCAAAATACAGATGGATTGGTAAATAAAATTAAAAAAAATTTATATGCAGCAT